TACGAATTATAAAAAACTACATATTTTCTTTAAAAATATTACTATATTACGATTTATATTGAACTTTGTTATCTTTAATTTAAGCTAAAAAAAATATTTTCAAAAATATTTTATTCACCCTTATGTTTTAGACAATGAAATTGCTCAATGGCATAATACATTCATACATAAATTAAAAATTAAACAAATATAACATATTATAAAATAAAATCATGAATAAAATTATGTATTTAATTAAACTCAAAATCTAATTTATTTGTAAACTGTAAATCCTAATTCTCCTTTATGAACCAAAACTGAGAAATAACCTTGTTTAATTGTAAAACCTAAATCTCACTCTTCTTTAGTAAACCCAAACCGATAAATAATCTCGTTTAATTATAAAATCTAAACTATAATGCACATTTATAAACTCAACATATAACCCTTATAATTGTAAAACCTACAACTCGCAAAACCAAAAATTAGGTTAATAGTTGAAAGAGAATTTTTGAGAAATACCCTTTTTGGTGTACCCCTTTTTTAAAATAGACCAATTTTCTATCCATTTTAAAAATATCTCTTTTCAAATATGAAAAATTGTAAACTTTTATATAGTTTATAAGGTACATCTAGATCAACATTACTATTGGGAGACTCAATACAAATATTTATAGAGTTTTACAAAGGTTCTAAACGGCATTTATAAGTTTTTTTATAATGTTTACAAAGTTTTTATATGTTTTAAAATAATTTTTAAAAGGTTTTTAAAAGGTATATATATGGTATTTAAAATTTACACACATAGAAAGATAATTTGTGTCTAAATATATAAGCTTACACATTTTTTTTTATAAATATCAAATTTTTTACTTTTTAATTTATAAAAAATACCTTTTTCCATACCACTTTTTAAAAATACCCTTATTTCAAAATTTATTAAAAAAACCACAATAAATGTTGAAATTTATCCAAATATGTGTGTAAACTTATAAATATACACACAAATTACCTTTATATATGTTTAAATTTTTATATATCTTTCATAAATAGCATAAAATAACTTATAAATACCTTTTAAAAACCTTTACCTTATAAACCCTTTTAAAAACCACTTAAAAACCTTTTAAAACTTGTAAAAATGATTTAAAATATTTTAAAACATTATAAAATATTTGTATCAAACTTCCAAGTAGTAGTTCTTATATAGAAGTACCTTATAAACCATATAAAACTTTATAATTTTTCATATTTAAACATGGATATTTTTGAAAATGGATAGATAGATGAGGTATTTTTGAGAAAGGGTACACCAAAAGGGGTATTTCTCAAAAATTCTCTTTAATTTTTTATAATTATTTTTTAATGTTGTTAAAAATTCTATTTTTATCTTAATATTAACAAAATTAGATATAAAACGTTGCGACATCTTATGTTTTTACTTGACACTTATCATGATCACGTGAGTTAGTAAATTTAAAAACCAAGTTTCGACATATAATCTCGTTTAATTGTTAAACTTAAACCATAATTTTAATTTATAAAGATAAACCATAATTTTTATTTATCATTTATATACCCAAACCAACAAATAACCTGATTTAATTGTAAAATTAAAGTTGAAACCTTAATCCTCTTATGTAAACAAAAACCGCCGTATATTCTTGTTAATTATAAATTTTAAATCCCTATCTTATTAATAAACCAAATTGACATAACTGAGATTAGGTTATTTGTTTAATTTATTAATAATTTTTAATATATAATTCTTTATAAAATTTATTTTATATATTTCCTTTTCGATAGGGTTAATAATATTTCTATCTTATCCAAATATTAACAAAATTAGTTACGACACGTGTCAATATCTTATAGTTTATAATTGACACGTGTCACGATCTTGTTAATGGCTAACTTTGAAAACCAAGGTTTATATAATAAGATACTAGTCAGTTGCCCACGTTACGCGCGTGAGTTTTATTATGTTGTTTATGAGTAATTAGTTCGTATTTTATTTTCTATTTATTTTTTTACTATACCATACTTTTATTTTTTAATTTTAGATTGTGTTTGTATAGAAAACCTGTTGAGTTTTAGCTTCATTATTAGTTAACAAATTAAGTGTATATATTATAAGTCAATGTGTGGGTGTAAGCAGAAATGCGGTAGAGAATCATAAAGAAACATGTGTTATTAGGGTTCCTACCAAATATAAATCTAGATGTTAATATTGTAAACTTTTTTAATATGTTGGCCTTAAAAGTTGAAAATGATATTGGGGGTTTTGGGCGGATTATTATATTTTTTATTGGTTACATTATCTCTTTATATATTGTCATAACTGTTTTTTTATTTTACGTTTTCTTTTTTGGACTGGACGTAATTTATACCGCATTATGATTATTTTTATACTATTATATATTCGTTTATGATTTTCTATTTTATATATTTTTGTGTTTTCATATGGAAAATTTTTAAAATTTAACATATTAGTATAATTTACTTTATATTTAGTTCATTTAATTTAATTATTCTTTTTATATTTTAATTTTCAAATTTTTATGAAATATTGTTAATTTTTGATTTTTTTATTAGTTTACCATATGTGATGTATTGAAAAAAGTTAGTTAAATTTTTATTGGAAAATATTATTTTTCTTGTTACCATTTTTATATGTGTTTTTAAAATAAGAATTCATGTTTCGTCCCAACCTATCTCATTTATGTTGGAGAATTTTGTGAGACATAAATTAGATAGATTTCTATTCTCAAAGTTTCTCACTTTTTGTTTTATTCTCGTTAAATCTCATTACAATTTAGGTTTACATTGTGTAAATATAATCAAATTTTATGTCATATTATTTTTAATTGATATATATTCATTATAAAGCAGTCACTTGAAAAGTATAATCTATTATTCATATATTAGTTATTATATAATCGATAATTAGTAAGTTTTTTTATTTTTAATCAATTATCTTTTTTAGTTTTATAATATAAAATATAAGAAAAGACCTTTCATATTTCTTTTAGAAGAAACTATTTATATATGTCTAAATCTCAAAATTAAATGATAAAATGGTATAATTAATTCTTAAAATTAAATTATAAAATGAGATGATGATTAGGATGATGAGGTGCCTTAAGGAGAAGAGAGAAAAATTAACTTTATATATATATAGATAACAGTATTTTATATTGTTTATTATTCGCAAGCTCGCAATTACATGCACCAAAATATTTCAAATAGAAATCAAAACTGATACAAAGGAAAAAAAAAGTTATATACATTCAAAAGAAATAACGTAATTAAGTCTTTTAGGTGTACTTTATTATGATTTTTTGTTACAAAATCATTAACTTTAACAATAACAAGTGTTACAATTTGATTAAAAATTACAAAAACCAAATGTGCATTTATTTATTTATTTTTTAAGCTCAATTAATAGTGAATCCAATGATAATTATCAAATAAAATTGTATCTCACTACCAAAAAAAAATGTATCTTTTTATAGCCACAAGCTCTTAATTACAATTACTTACCAACACAACTTATTGTCAATATAAATATCCTTCACACACACAAACATGTATCAAAATTTATTATTTACAATACATGATATAATATTTGAGCAAAAAATTGTTTTTATTTAGTAACAAATCTAAAGAGTAAATACATTCGTAAGTCATATATATTTATATAACACTATCTTATATTGTTTATTATTCGCAAGCTCGCAATTACATGCACCAAAATATTTCAAATAGAAATAAAAACTGATACAAAGGGAAAAAAAGTAATATACATTCAAAAGAAATAACGTAATTAAGTCTTTTAGGTTATATCTGTAAGAATTTGATTAACAATTAAAAAAAAAACCAAATGTGGATTTATTTATTAATTTTTTAAGCTCAATTGATAGTGAATCTAATGATAATTATAAAAGAAAATATTGTATCTCACTACCAAAAAAGAAATGTATCTTTTTATAGTCACAAGCTCTTAATTACAGTTACTTACCCAACACATCTAATTGTCAATATAAATATCCTTCACACACAAACAAAATTGTAATACAAAACCTTACATAAATCTTTACAGAGACCAAGTAACATTGAAAACATATTTTCATATATCTTTGTGTTCTTTGTTCTAAATCATGGCGGATTTTCCGGATCAACCTTATGCGGTTTACAACCCATATAACATGGTGATAACTTTGTCACCATTCGACGTAAATTCGAGTAATACGATAATGATGCCAAAACCGTTACTAGAAGCCAACTTATTTCGTTTCATGGATTTAAGTGATGTCGTCGAACTATTACAAGTTCAAGACCAGCCAAGGATGATTGAACTTTTTGATATCGATACTAAGATTACAACATTTCTTACCATTAGAGAAGAAGGAAATAATTTCAAATTTTATGGGTGGAAAACTATTCTCCAACGAAAAAATTACAAGGCAGGCGATGAAATTGCATTTTGGTGGGATCTCCACCACACTAGACTTAATTTCAAACAGGTTGCTTAGTTGATGGAGTTAATCTTTACAACTTCATTTCTCGAATAATATGTAAACCGGCTTTTATCTTGATCAAGTCCGGTTAGGTTTCGTTTTATTGAAATGAATTATTATTAAAAGGTTGTCTAGTTCTAGTGATCATAATTATAAATAAATCTATTTGGCTTTGTAAGATAATAATATATTTGGTAATTAATTTTTTCCAAATTTTATGTTTTGACATATTCTATATGTTTGATATCAATTTATATTGATTTTTAAATTTATTTATTTGATTCTCTATTTTGGAAACACTAATTTAAGAACTAAATTTTATCAATACAATATTGTAATGTTGAAAGTCTAGATGACGTAACGTATCGGTGAATTAACTAGTATGCAATATATGTGATGTTCTAATTTCAATTGCATCAAGGATTCAAGTTTATAAACTCCAATTATACGGCGACAAAAAAATAATTAAAAAAATAAAATAAAATAAAAACTCCAATTATACCGATGGTACATAAATGAGTATTCTTTTTTCCAACACAAAATCATCAAACTATATGTCCATTTACATGGATTTTAGGTTTCATGAATCATGCAAAAATTTATAAACAAAGATATTCAAACAATATTGAAAATCCTCTAAATTTAGTTTTCTCAATAATTGAATCTTCGTGATTTCTTTGGTATGTCATATAGTCCTTTCGTTGTTGATTTATCTATAGTATCTTATTATCTAAGTCGATCTCCTAGCATAATCCAATGAATTGTAAAAAAAGTATAAACAATGGGATTTAAAAAAAAAAATCTGTCGTAAATTTAATTTAATATTCTTTTCTATCGCAGTCAACATAAATCAAAATTAAATATTTTTAACACATGATATACCTATAATCTAATGGATTGAAAATATTAGACGCCATAATATTGTAGGTAGAAAACGTTTTCATTAAGTAACAAATTTAATTAAGTAAATATATTCGTAAGACGTACATGTATTTTATAGTGTTTAATATTATTCGCATGAAATCTAACGATTATTAAAGAAAAATATGATATACATAATACAACAAAAGAAATATATTTAATAACCTAATTAATAATTTCTTTACTTTTTTTGTGTGTGCACCATTATACCTTTTTACTTAATTTTTTTTTTTATGTTAGAAAATCTGCCACATTTACCAAGTGTTCAGTCAATTAATTAGATAAAAGTATCTTTAATTAAAGATAAAAATATTTATCTGTCATAATAAATGAAATCTAAATAAAATTAGTCAAGAGACAAAAAGTTCAATTAAAAGTGAATCCAATGATATTCAAAATAAACAAAATCATATCTGGTTATAGTCACAAGCTCTTAATTACAATTACCCACTCAACACAACTTGTATTGTCACTATAAATATCATTAGCACATGTAAACAAATTTTAAAATATACTACAAAGCAAAGAACATTAATACTCATATATCTGTTTTTTGTTCATCATGGCAGACGACGCAGGTACTAATGAGACGGATCCAATTAAGCAGTTCGATGCAAACAACCCATGGAACATCCTGCTAACGTTGAGACCATCAGACGTAGGCACGAGTAATACATTAACGGTTCCGAGAGTGTCGGCAGAAACAAGGATGCTTCCTTTCTTGAGTATGTATCGTTTCAGAGGGTACGTAGACTTTTATGATGTTGAAAGTGACGTCGTAACAACTCTTACCTTAAAAAGACAAAGAAATGGAGACTATCATTTTCATGGATGGAGTATGGTTCTCGAACGAAAACATTGCAAGACAGGAGATACTGTTGTGTTTTGGTGGGATAATCTTCACCGTAGATTTAATTTCGAACTAGTCTTGATTGCTTAGTTCATCTTCATCATGGAGCAAGTTTTTAGTTTCTTTTTTATTTACATTTTCTATTCCATATTGTATTGATTAAGTTGTTTTTCTGGTTTTCTATAATAAATATTTATTAATAATACCCTAATTATAATGAGTTGAGCGAAAAAATTTCTCCAATTTTTTTAAAAATTCTTTGACATTCAAATTTAAAGATGATATGATTAGTCAATATGAACCAATCCAGGGATTGACCATCTTTTATACTTTTTTTTTGTCATGAAAGTTAATTATAAAGGAGATTTCTATTTTTAGTAATATAACTAAATTTTAGTACGCGATACACTACAAGACAAACCTTTTTTTAAAGTCATATTATTGAAATTTACAAATTTTATTGGAGTTTATTTAATAATTATTAAGATTATATAATATTATAATACTAATTTTTATTAAATTAATTTTATTATACATATATATTATACTAATCTTGTATTATATATATCTTATGTTGGTGTTATTAAAAAAAGTAGTAAAATGAAGATTTTACCTGGTAAATTATTTAACAAATGTATGAATTGATAGATTACACCAATTGTTTCGATTTTCAAAACAAGCTACACAGTACATTCTCTCAAAACCATTCGCAAAACACAATGAATATGGTCTCGGCCCCTAAATATGAATGAGTTAATATGCATAACCAAAACTGTAGTTTTTATAAAATTCATCGACACCCAAAACCATAAACGTTTTTGGCCTTACAAAAACATCCTGCACAAGAACATAATAGCGAAAGAGATAGCAAACTCATCAGCCATTTAGGGATTATATTTTTGCCCTTCTAGTAACATACTCCTACTCCTACACATTAATACGATTGTAAATTTGTAAGTATGGGCTGAGGCCCAAGACTGGGGATTAGTCTGACTTTTGTAACAAGTAAAAACACTTATTCTAGAGATCCTTGTGCTTTCTCTTGTGTAAAACCCTAATCCATGATCAACCTGCCAATGTCATCACCGGCCATCAAGAACGAAGAGGAGCCGTTGGTTAAAAACCAGAAGAAGACGCTACATATTCTTTCACTTCCTGATGATTTGATATTGAGCTGCTTAGCTCGTGTCTCGAGATTGCACTATCCAACTCTCTCCTTAGTTTCCAAGAGCTTCCGATCTCTTCTCGCTTCACCTGAGCTTTACAAGACTCGGTCACTCTTAGGTCGTACTGAGAGTTGTCTCTATGTCTGTTTACGTTTTCCTCCTGAACCTAATAAACGTTGGTTCACTCTCTCCATAAACCCTAATCAAACCGTAGACAACAAGAAAACAAGTTGCACGCTTTTGATCCCAATCCCAACTGATCCATATTCTCACCCTGCGCACTTTTCTAGTCTCGTAGCCGTTGGTTGTAATATCTACAACTTTGGCGGATCCCACGTTGACGGGCCTTCGTCTAGGGTCTCAATCCTAGACTGCAAGTCTCACACGTGGCGCGAGGGTCCAACCATGCAGGTGGACCGGACTAACTTATCTCCCAATGTTCTTGATGGGAAGATATATGTAGGAGGTCTCAAAGGCTCCAAGTCCGCCTTTTCTATGGGAGTTTTTGATTTAAAAACTGAAACTTGGGATCCTACGGTGTTTGGCCTGTTGCCTTCCCCTTCCATAAAGGAAATATTTGTATACAAGAGCATGGTGATGGAAGGAGGAGTCTACATGATCGGGGATAAGGAGGCTGTGGTCTACAAGCCAAAAGAAGGTAAATGGGAATCAGTTCATTATCTGGAGGATTTTGACCGATGGCTAGGGACTTCTCATTGCGTTATAGGTAACGTGCTATATTGGTACCATTATCATAATACATTTAAATGGTATGATTCCAAGATAGGAAAGTGGATGGAGTTGAAGGGTTTGGAAGGTCTGCTCAAATTTTCCGGTGTTGTTAAATTGGTGGATTATGGTGGAAAGATGGCGGTATTGTGGGACGAGTATAATGGCCGCAAGAATAAGGTGATTCGGTGTGCGGTGATTGAACTTGAAAGGCGCAACAGTGAAGAGATTTGGGGGAAGGTCGAATGGCTTGATGATTTGCTTACTGTCCCTGTGTATTACGATTTCTTGTGTGCTCTTTCTGCTACTGTTTGATGAATTGACTCAAACGTGGTGAATCTTGGTTGCTGAACTTGAAAATGGATTTTTTTTAGCATTTTTTTGTTGTATATTTAGAGACTAGAGAGTTCTCTTCACATTCATACTTTGAAGAAAGAACTGAAGAAGAACTATTAGTTGGATGCGTTCTTGAGAGAGTTTGGTCGAACAACACACCTTTTTTGTTTTTTCTCCTTAATTTACAAAGGCCTTCTTCACTCTGGATTGTTTCTTGCCGTCTTTAAAAATGTCCAAGACTTACCGCTTATAGCCCTGGTCGGCCAGACCAAACTTTCAAATGTAAGCCCGAAGATATGTGAGTCTTTCAGGTTTCCGCAGGACCAGACCTAATGATTGAAATGCATATGTTTTATTAGACCAATCATAGTTATATGGCGGCTTTAAACATTTTAATAGCTCGAATACGTTTGTTTTCGAGTATATTTATGAGAATTTTTGAGAAATACCCCTTTTGTTGTACCTCTTTTTAAAGATACCCCTTTATCTATCTGTTTTCAAAAATACCCCTTTTTAAATATAAAAAATTATAAAGTTTTATATAGTTTATAAGGTACTTCTATATAATAACTATTACGGGGAGATTCGATACAAATATTTTAAAACGTTTTAAATAGTTTAAAATCGTTTTTATAAGTTTTAAAAGGTTTTTAAAAGGGTTTATACGGTTTTTATAAGGTTTTTATAAGATTTTTATAATTTATTTTTACGCTATTTATGAAAGGTATATAAAGTTTTATACACATATAAAGATAATTTGTGTATATATTTATAAGTTTACACACATATTTGGATAAATTTCAACATTTTTAGTGGGGTTTTTGATAAAGTTTGAAAATGGGGTATTTTTAAAAAGAGGTATATGAAAAGGGGTATTTTTGAAATTCCCCCTATACCGTCCACTAGTCTGAAGTATATACTTTAAATCTTCATTATAACTTTTGATTATTGTTTTGAGGTTTTCTAATGTTTATAAAATTTTGAACATTATCTTTTTTTCAACATATTTTCTTAAAAAAACTCAAACAAACCAACAACCAGGAACATTGTTCACTAAGAACATCTACAAATAATGAAATACTGTGTTTGAAAAACAATTGTCAGGGTTTATAGTTTAGTATTAATGATTATATAATTAAATTTGTAGGATTAGGATTTAAGATTTGGGAATTAGACTATTTTTTAATTAGATTTAGGATTTGCTTTTTAGGCCTTATTTATATATAATCTAGTTTTAGGGTTTAGATTTCCACTATTTGGCTAATTTGAAAAAAACATTATACTATTATTTTATGTTTTTATGTAGCAAATAATCTTAGTATATGTGTGTATGTAAATATTTTTATCAAACCTGGCCGATCGAGAACTGAATTTGGACTCTCGTACGTGTTCGAGACGTGTAGTGGTGGCAACACCACTAGCACTAGATTATCTCAACATATATATATATATATACTCACTAGTCTCTAATTAGATAGCTGTTTGTTTGTTAGAACAGTAAGTCAAGATTATATTTAAAAAGACCTATAATAACAAAGTATGCCTAGTATAGTACAAAATTAATACAAAGAGGCAACATATTCATTTAGAATTTAGAAATCATATCTCAATCAAAGTCAGCTTAACCTATTATTTCTTAAATTGCTAATGGCGCAAGACAACCTTGTTGATACGTTGGAAGTGGTTGCGACTTGCGACAAAAACTGACATTTTTTTCTTAATTTGTTTTTGCTTTAAGAACCTACGTAATTTAATAACATTTTAACAAATTTAGTGGCATAAATATTTGTTGAGCACATGTTGGGGTCTCCTTTATATCCCAACACTACAGATGTAATTTGTTAGATATAGTCAATCATGTAGCAGATGTACATGCCCATGTATAAACGATGACTTATCTTAATTTTAGTCTATTCTACTACATCTCGTACTATTTTAGCCTTTTGATCGGACAATTTAATAAAACATTGCAAAACCACATATTTGCTATTCCTTTTAGATTTCTAGCAAAACCCTAAAGGTCATTGGTTCATATGACATTCGAGACAAAAGTTGGCACATCACATATATATTACCCCAAGAAACTATCCCACCATCGATGTGGGATATTCTAACAACTATATAAAATGCTATAGATTCGGAGTCGGATCTAAGGATAATATGGACTTCCACTTAAAATCTCTTAATTATTAAAAAAAAAAATGTGTTAGATGTTTTAGAGATTTTTTCTGTTTACTACTAACATTTTTCAAGTGAACTTTTTTGTGACCATGGCGCTATCTGATTTCTATTTTTGTCTTACTTTGTGACAAAGACAAAAGCAATCATTACTTTTTTGTGACCATGTACTTAGATTTTGTGACCATTACTATTTTGCAGATTATTACAAGACAAACAGTAGTATCGATTTTGAGTTTGAGCTATAGCTAGAGCCATTGAGGATCCCATATAACTATTTGACATGAGAATCTAGTACTGAAATCCAAATATGTTGCAGATGCTGAAGCCTGAAGTTATTATTCCACACGGTTTTGTCATGTGTGATTGGTTGACTTCTACAGTTTCTACAGGTGTATATATTGGGATCTGATGATGAGACCTCGGACTCCGATCCAACTAAAAGTCAACTTTCATGACAACTTTGTCATTGTGACCTTAGACAATATATGTTCCCAGTGTACTTAATTATATGAGGATATAGTAAATTAATATATAAAATATATATGTGTATGGAATCTTGAACTAAATTTGATGTCGGGAATATATATAGTAGTCGTAGCTTATAACAATCATTGCCAAGAAACACAAAAGCTTCACAAGATGAAGAAATGTATGATTTGTACTGATTACTTTCTTCTTGTTGTGTTCTTCATCTTGTCCCTTTCGTTTGTGTCCGTAACATGCGGCGAAACTCATCAGAAGGGTACTGACGTAGATGGAGTTTCATCAGTGTATGAAGACGTACGTATTGGATTGGTGGTGGACATGAATTCCATGGAAGGAAAGTTTGTGAGAACTTCGATTTCCATGGCGCTTTCTGATTTCTATCATGTCAACAAAGGCTATAGAACAAGAGTCTCTGTCTTATCCAGAGACTCTCATGGTGACCCTCTCCAAGCTCTAGCCGCAGGTACACCAATTTATTCAACTTTGATGCTGCGTCTTAGAATGCTTTGTTCAGAACAACAAGTTCATACAGTATAGTAAAAATTAAGTTGACACAGTACTAGATCATGTCAACCAAAACCCTCCAAAATTGGCATGGTTCGAAGATTAATCTGAATTTCTGTTAAGGATCACCCGGTTATAGAAAAAAATGTTATATAGAAATATTAATTAAGGTTATATATAGATTGAAACAAACATGTTATATTTCTCATATGCTTTTAAGAAATGTTTTGCATAATACAATATGATTAATTTTGGTATTTTTGTTTTAGTACGAGTGTACGACGAAAGAAAATCAAGAAAATATGTGAAGAGGCTTATAATTAAGATCTTGTGTTTTCTTTTGTTTGATTAAACGGGGAAACTAAATTTGCATCAAAGTGTATGAAATTACCACCAAAATTAAAAAATTAGGATAGATATTTACTTTTCCGAAAGAAAATATCGGTTTTATAGAATTTTCATATCAATCGATTTACTCATGTTACTTATATACTAGAAGACCAGTCTTAGTTTAAACTTATTATCCCAAAACAAAACATGAATTCTTGGATTTGTCAAAGAACAGAAGATAAAATAGTATTACAAATAATAAATACCCTAATTAGGTCAAATACCTTTAGAAAATAGTTTCATATATACCTCAATTTAGAAAAAAAAACATATTGAACATACCACAAATTTTAGGTTTATGAAGGTTTTCCAAAGTTTAGTTAAGATTAATAAAAACATTAAACTAAAATTTCCTTAACCTTGTGATATTCAAATATTGTTTTTTTAAGGATTTTAATTGGTAATATTTTTGGAAAACCCAAACCAAATAGTGGTAAATTCATATTTCCCAAAAGTAGTTTTTAATGTTATATCTTAATTGGATTAGATTTGCAGTGTAAGTTTTCACTTTTCATTTTGGACATGTAATTGTTAAAACAGCCATGGATCTTCTACAAACTAAACAAGTGGAAGCACTCGTTGGTGGACAATCGTTGCTTGAAGCAAAACTTTTGGCAGAACTTGGAGAGAAAGCTAAAGTTCCAGTGATATCTTTCCAAGTGCCTAGTTCCTCGACCTTGAACAAGTATAGTTACTTCATTCAAGCTACTCATGATGCTGACTCCGAGGCGAAGGGCATTGCAGCATTATTCCAAAGGTTAGATTGGACAGCTGTTGTTCTTATCTATGAGGATGATGATGACTGGAGAGAGAGTATACAACCTTTGGTCGGACATTTCCAACAAAACGCCATTCACATCGTGTACAAGGCTGACATTTCTGTCTCATGTAATGAAGAATGTATCATGAAGCACCTAAGAAAGATTAAGGCCTTGGGAATTAGGATTTGTGTTGCACATGTTTCTGAACGTATAGCAAATCTTCTTTTCTTATGTGCTCGGAGGTTAGGAATGACGGAAGATGGTCATGCATGGATCCTCACAGCGAGAAGCATGGATAACTTTCAAGACACAAACTATATAAAAAAGGAGGCAATGGAAGGTGTGATCGGTTTCAAGTCTTATATTCCATTAACTGAGGAGCTTCACAATTTTACTTTGAGATGGAAGAGATCTTTGCTACCCGAAGACGTTACGAGGATAAGCATTTGTAGCGTATGGGCTCACGATATAGCTTGGAGTCTTGCAAGAGCCGCGGAAGTCGCAAGGCTACCGAGGTTGCATGGCAATGATCTGCTTGAGGGAATTTTAGAAAGTATTACTAAGCATAAAGGTTTGAGTGGTGACATCAAAATAATGGATAGAAAAATAATCTCTAACAAATTTGAGATTATAAATATGATAGGAAGAGGTGAGAGAAGTGTAGGATTATGGAGTTCTGGTAGTTTCATAAGTAACAACAGAAGAAGAAATGCGACTCTTACCGATGTTCTTGGGACAATAATCTGGCCTGGAGGGTCTACAACAACTCCGAAAACCCGCTTGTTGAAAGAGGAGGGCCATAGTAAAAAGAAGAAGCTTAGAGTTTTGGTACCATCAGGAAACTTAGTTCCACCAATATTGGAAGTGAAGACAGATTTAAAAACCGGTGTCACAGCTGCTAGAGGCTACTGCATAGAAGTTTTTGAGACGGCGATCCGACCTTTCAATTATGAAGTTGAGTACATACCTTGGCCTGCATATAACTACCAAGACTACAACAAACTAGTACACGCATTCTATGACCAGGTAGACCTTTTTATTATATTTGTATTCTTCCGGTACACGCATATAACTATCATTTTGTTTTGCCACTTCTTCCACAGAAAGACAAGTATGATGTAGCTGTTGGAGATATCACAATTACTGATAACAGATCCACCTATGTAGATTTTACATTACCATTCACCGATCTTGGTCTCGCGGTTGTGGCTGCCAAAGATAAAAGCATGTGGATTATTTTTAAGCCTTTGACACTTAGTCTATGGCTAACAATTGTAGCTTTCTTTGTCTTGACTGGAGCCTTAGTTTGGTTGATAGAGCGGCATGATAACACTGACTTCCAAGGCTCTTGTTTCCACCAAATTGGAACATTGCTAAGTTTTGGATTCTCGACCCTTGTCTTTGCCCATCGTAAGTAGGAAAAACCATAAACCACTTTCTTGATTTTCTTGATTTTACCTATAACAAAAAAATCTCTAACGCTTTATTTTTCTTGGCTTTGCTTGCATTGGTAATATATAGGGGAGAGGCTAGAACATAGTCTGTCAAGATTTGTGGTTATTGTTTGGGTATTTGCTGTGCTCATATTGACTTCGAATTACACTGCGACGTTGACATCAGTGATGACGGTTCAACAAATCCGGTTGAAATCTCATGAAAACATTGGCTTCTTTTCAGCCTCTGTTGCAGCAAATGTGGTTTATGATAATCCTACATTCCAAGGACCAACATATAAAGGGTTAGAGACGGCTGACGACTATACAAACGCGTTAAAGAATGGGACTATCTTGTTCATCGTCGATGAAGTTCCTTACGTGAAGCTGTTCCTTGCAAAGTACCCTTCAGAATTCTACATTGTCAAAACCGAAAGCGTCACCAACGGCTTTGGATTTGTAATACCCTTAACCTCCAAATTCTCTTTTGTTACATTATTGTATCTACTTTTATTTATATGTAGTGCATCATCTCATCCATCTTTCACCTTCTCTCTCTCAGGTTTTTCACAAAGGTTCCGCTTTGGTTCAAAACGTGTCGAGAGAAATCGCGATGCTAAGGAGAACAGAGAAGCTACAAGCTATGGAGAACTGGTGGTATCATAGACAAACAATGTCAGCTTCAAGTGATGATTCGTCTGATCCTCTCACGGTTTACACATTTCGAGGTTTGTTTATGATCACAGGAGCTTCTTTTGCATTTGCTCTCGTTGTCCATCTTATCCCCTGGAAACGAGACCAAAGGCAAGTCATCGCTAAGCATTTCCACCGTTATGTTAATCAGCGATTTGGAAAAACAATTCGTCCTTCACCTACCACACCGGCCTAGCAAGGCAATATGATAATCTAATGATCTGAAAAAAAAAATTCTCATATATGCACAGCTTCTTTTTTTTTTTTTTGATAAACCCTATCGGCTGATCCGGTTAGCCCCAGTAGAAACACACCGAAGTGTTTCAGAATGGACTTCTCCCCAAAGGGCCACCACACTGTCTATCCCGAGTTTGCACAACTTCTTCTTATGCATTTGTTATGTTTATATTCTCTTGATCTTTTGATTATGTGTGTGTAAATATATTCGAAACTACTTAAACAATTTGTAAATAGTTTATGTTTAAATCATGTTCAGTTTTTTTTTTTTTTTTTGGGTAGGATATATCATGTTCAGTTAGTATAGTGAATACTGGATAGTCTAGGACAAAATAAAAAATCAGAACTGAAACCGAATCGAACCCGAATCGATGTATATATATCCAAAATATTATTTATATACAGATTTGATTTTGAAATATATAAGAAATTGTTTTGAAAAAACCACGATTTATTTAATGTTTGCCACAAAAATATATGAACTTTTTCTCACTTTCGCGGTAACGGTTGTTATCGGCATGGATGAATGACACCATAATTTCTTTTTGGAAAGATTTCTAAAAACCTCAACTTATTTAATACTTACCAAAATACATAAAGTTTTCTATTGTATAAAAAAGAAATACACAATCAACATTTTTTTATTTTTTTTTCATCCACTAACAATGTCATAGGATAAGGGTTCATAACTTTCTCCACCCTCATAAACCTCAATCAATTTCTCTTTTTCCAATTTGGACAAAGATATACCACTTGTACTAGATCATACTCACCTCTAATTAGATACATAGCTGTTTGTTTGTTAGAACAGTAAGCTAGAATGTTTTTGTTTTAAACTATAATTACAAAGCAATAATATATCAATCAAAGTCAGCTTACCATATTATATCTTAAATAACTAAACTAAGCTCGTCTGGCGCAAGACAACCTCGTTGATGCTTTGGGAGAGGTTGCGAACAGACAACCTCGTTGATGCTTTGGGAGAGGTTGCGACTTGCGACCAAAACTGACAGTTTCTTTAATTTTATTTTTGATTTCTAAAACTTAATAAAACTGAATTATTTCGAAAATATCATTTTTACGAATTTTGATAGCACAAAGGTTTGTCGAGTAGATGTTGGGCAGCCTCTCCTTACATCCCAACACTACAAAGTGTAATTTGTTACAACTGTGTTCTTACATACCTAATGTTTTTAGATATAGTCAATGATGTTGCAGATGTGCATGCTCATGTTTCATGTATAAAACGATGACATATCTAAATTTCAATAGGGCAAAGAGTTTGTATTCAGTAACTTAAATTCATTTAGACTTTGTGACCATTAATAACAGTATTTTTACAATTGGTTGATTTTTAAAATTATATAGTGAGTTATATTTTCAATATAAAACTTTATCTTACAAGTTTACAACTCTACTACTGCATATCCTAAAAAGGGTGTAACAGCGTATAAGGTATAACTATCTTGACATGAGCATCTAGTGAAAGCCAAATATGTTGCGGCTGCTGAAGTATTATTCCACACATGATTGACTTCTACATTTTACAGGTGTATATGTGAGATCTGATGAGACCTCGGACTCTGATCCATAAAAGTCAACTTTCATGACAACGTTGTCATTGCGACCTTAGACCAAATATGTCCCCCGTGTACTTAATTAATACATGAGGATATAGTAAATTTGTTAAATAACAATAACATATGTATATGGATCTTGAACTAAATATGATGTCGGCAATATGTATAATAGTTGCTTATAACAATCATTGCCAAGAAACACAAAAGCTTCAGCAAGATGGAGAATTGTATGATTCGTACAGATTGTTTTCTTCTTATTGTGTTCTTCATCTTGTCCTTTTCGTTTGTGTCCGTAACATGCGGCGAAGCTCATCAGAAGGGTACTGACGTAGATGGAGTTTCATCAGTGTATGAAGACGTTCGTATAGGATTGGTGGTGGACATGGGTTCCATGGAAGGAAGGTTTGTGAGAAGTTCGATATCCATGGCGCTTTCTGATTTCTATCATGTCAACAAAGGCTATAGAACAAGAGTCTCTGTCTTATTCAGAGACTCACATGGTGACCCTCTCCATGCTCTAGCCGCAGGTACGCCAATATGTATATACACCTTTGTGTTCGTTTCTGCATTTAACAGTGCTTTCTTGAGAACAACAACATCATAAACTATTAAGATCGTGAAAGTATGTGGGAATTCAAACAAATATTGAGAAAAAAAAATTTAGTTATTTAAGATTTTTTTTTTCTTTTGAATTAAAGTTCAATTATATTCTTCAGATTTTCAACTCATCGATTATACTCATGTTACTTTATATACTTTACACAAGACCAGTCTTAATTTTAAATTATAATTCCCAACACAAAAAAAGCGATGACCATGATGAAATCTTGGTTCTTGGATATACCAAATAGCAATGACCATGACCATGATGAAATCTTAGGTTTCAAATTAAGGTATTTTCAAGTTTTCGAATATATACCACACAATTTAGGTTAATGAAGGTTTTTCAAAGTTTACTAAAATTTAATAAAATCATTTAAATAAACTTTCTTAAACCTTGTGATATTCAAGAATATATTAAGGATTTTGGTAATATTTTTGAAAAAAATAAACCTAATAGTGCTAAATTCATATTTGCTAAAATTAGTTTTTATTGTAAAATTGCATTAGATTTGTTGCACTATCTCCTGCTGAAAGTGTTCACTTTTCATTTTGGACGTGTAATTGTTATGACAGCCATGGATCTTCTACAAACTAAACAAGTGGAAACACTTGTTGGTGGGCAATCGTTGCTTGAAGCAAAAGTTTTGGCAGAACTTGGAGAGAAAGCTAAAGTACCAGTGATATCTTTCCAAGTGCCTAGTTCCTCGACCTTGAGCAAGTATAGTTACTTCATTCAAGCTACTCATGATACTTACTCCGAGGCAAAGGGCATTGCAGCATTATTCCAAAGGTTAGATTGGACAGCTGTTGTTCTTATCTATGAGGATGATGATGACTGGAGAGAGAGTATACAACCTTTGGTCGGACATTTCCAACAAAACGCCATTCATATTGAGTACAAGGCTGAAATGTCTGTCTCATGTAATGAAGAATGTATCATGAAGCAACTAAGAAAGATCAAGGCCTTGGGGATTAGGATTTGTGTTGCGCACGTTTCTAAACGTATAGCAAATCTTCTGTTCCAATGTGCTCGGAGGTTAGGAATGATGGAGGATGGGCATGCATGGATCCTCACAGTGAGAAGCATGGATAATTTTCAAGACACAAACTATATAGCAAGGGAGGCAATGGAAGGTGTGATTGGTTTCAAGTCTTATATTCCATTAACTGAGGAGCTTCAGAATTTTACTTTGAGATGGAAGAGATCTTTGCTACCCGAAAATGTTACGAGGATGAGCATTTCTAGCGTATGGGCTCACGATATAGCTTGGAGTCTTGCAAGAGCCGCGGAAGTCGCAAGGCTATCAAGGTTGCATGTCAATAATATGATTGAGGGAATTTTAGAAAGTATTACTAAGCATAAAGGGTTGAGTGGTGACATCAAAATAATGGATAGAAAAATAATCTCTAACAAATTTGAGATTATAAATATGATAGGAAGAGGTGAGAGAAGTGTAGGATTATGGAGTTCTGGTAGTTTCATAAGTAACAACAGAAGAAGAAATGCGACTCTTACCGATGTTCTTGGGACAATAATCTGGCCTGGAGGGTCTACAACAACTCCGAAAACCCGCTTGTTGAAAGAGGAGGGCCATAGTAAAAAGAAGAAGCTGAGAGTTTTGGTACCATCAGGAAACTTAGTTCCACCAATATTGGAAGTGAAGACAGATTTAAAAACTGGTGTCACAGCTGCTAGAGGCTACTCTATAGAAGTTTTCGAGACATCAATCCGACCTTTCAATTATGAAGTGGAGTACATACCTTGGCATGCAGTTAACCACCAAGACTACAATGAACTAGTGTACGCAATCTATGACCAGGTAACAACATAATATATATTTGTATTCTTCCAGTCCATCATCGGAGTTATATACATACATAATTTATATCATTTTGTTTTGGTACGATGCAGAAAGACAAGTACGATGCAGCTGTTGGAGATATCACAATTACTGATAACAGATCCACCTATGTAGATTTTACATTACCATTCACTGATATTGGTCTCGCAGTTGTGGCTGCCAAAGAAAAAAGCATGTGGATTATTTTTAAGCCTTTGACACTTAGTCTGTGGTTAACAATTGTAGCTTTCTTTGTCTTGACTGGAGCTTTAGTTTGGTTGATAGAGCGGCATGATAACACAGACTTCCAAGGCTCTTGTTTCCACCAAATTGGAACATTGCTAAGTTTCGGGTTCTCGACCCTTGTCTTTGCCCATCGTAAGTAGTAAAAATCAAATTCGCTTTCTTGATTTTCTTGATTTTACCTATAACAAAAACTCTCTTAACATTTTAAGTTTCTTGGCTTTGCTTGCTTTGGTAATATACAGGGGAGAGGCTAGAACATAGTCTGTCAAGATTTGTGGTTATTGTTTGGGTATTTGCAGTGCTTATATTAACCTCGAATTACACTGCAAAGTTAACATCAGTGATGACGGTTCAACAAATTCGATTGAAATCTCAAGAAAACATTGGCTTCTTTTCAGACTCTATTGCAGCAAACGTGGTTTATGATAATCCTACGTTTCATGGTCCGACATACAAAGGGTTAGAGACAGCTGACGATTATACAAACGCGTTAAAGAATGGGACTCTCTTGTTCATCGTCCATGAAGTTCCATACGTAAAGGTGTTCGTTGCTAGATACCCTTCAGAATTCTACATTGTCAAAACCGAAAGCGTCACTAACGGCTTTGGATTTGTAATATCTAAACCTCAAATTCTTCTTTAGCCACATTATTGTAGGCACTCTTATTTGTATAAAGGCATCATCCCATCCTTCTTTCACTCTCTCTCAGGTTTTTCAAAAAGGTTCCCCTTTGGTTCAAAACGTGTCGAGAGAAATCGCAATGCTAAGGAGAACAGAGAAGCTAAAAGCCATGGAGAACTGGTGGTTTCATAGACAAACAATGTTAGCCACAGGCGATGAGACATCCGATCCTCTCACGGTTTACACATTTCGAGGTTTGTTTATGATCACAGGAGTTTCTTTCGCATTTGCTCTCTCTGTCTATCTAATCCCCTGGAACCGAGACCAAAGGCAAGTCGTGGCTAAACATTTCCACCGTTATGTAAAAAATCGATTTGAAAACACAATTCGTCCTTCACCCACCACACCGGCCTAGGCCTAGCAAGGCAACATGAAAATACAATATGATAAATCTAGTATATTTGGCACAGCTTCTTCTTATGTATTTGTGAAGTTTACATTCTTATTGATCTTGTGATTATGTATGTGTGTGTGTGTGTGTGTGTGTGTGTGTGTGAATATATTTTAAATCTAATGAAGTATTGAATACATATATATAGGCACCTTTTAAGACTAAAGACACAAAAAGACTGCTCATGAACTTGAGAACAGAGACTTTTGCCATGAAAGTGCCCAAAATTGTATCTAAGAGAAGGCTCTCTAAAAATGGCAATTTTCTCTTCCCATTTTCTTCTCCTCTCCCTTCTCCATCAAAACAAAACTAAATAATCAAAAACTATACGAAATTTAAACTTAAAAAGAAACGAAAAATGTCAAAAACTCGGCAAATTAGAGATCTAAAGGTTGTATTTTTCAAAATTCGAATACTTGTTCTTGTTATATATACAAAGCACTCTAACACAAAAAGATTCCAAAAACATAAATACAGATGAAGTGATGATATTTATAAAACACAGCACAAGATTCAAACTCGAAAAAAATCAATGCCCAAAAATAAAAATCGAAACTTGGTGACATCCATTGAATGTTTTGCTGTAAACTAGATAACACTTAGAACATAGCAATGCATCCAGATCTTCCCATCAATTAAACGAACCTGGATTTATCGAAAAGCACTGTTCGCCGGAGGTGTAATATCCAGCGACGGTGGTGATCTGCTGACGACGGCGTACGAAGGAGTGATCATCGTTCATCTCTTTGAATTTCAAAACTTTTTAGGGATTTGATTGAAGAAGATGAAAAAAATCGAAGAAGGAAGAAAACAAAAACAAAAAATCATTTACGGATTAAAGTTGTGACAAGGCTGGGCCTATTTTAGCCCAACGTTTTTTACATAAAAGCCCGTTAGTAGTCCGAAACTTTTTTTTGTTCATTTAATCAGGTTCTGGGCTTATACATATTTACGCGGACCCGGTCTGGCCCATTAATTAAAGCCCAATGCAATATTCCTAGAAACAAGCTATGCACACCAAAAAGAGCGACAATGATATATCAGACTTTCATTATATACCACTAAACACCATAGTTTGTAAAAATAAATAATCTCTTTAGAAAAAAATACAACTTTTGTATGTGTTTTTTTTTCACAAACAAGGATACATGATGACACATTTCAGAAACAGACAAAGTCCATGATCATATCTCAGATAAATCAAAACTAGTCTTTAAATTTAAAGAAAGTTCAATGATTCAATAAACAGAAAGAAACAACAACTCACAAGTAACTGGCCAACCATGGAAGATCCTTGTTGTCTTTCAATGCAAAAGCAACATCATCACTTGGAAAATTCAGCTGCAGCTTCTGCAACCTATGCTTCTCTCCAGGTTCACAGAGAATGATCCTGCATTCACCTAGATCACAACCGATTTTGAGAAGAATGTCCCAACCCGGAAAAGCTTCTCCATTGGTTAAGCAGAGAGACGATACTATGGTTGCCACTCTGTCGAAGGTTGTCTCTGCCATTCCTGTTTTGTAAAGCTCATGAACCATGGCCGTCAAGAAGATCTTACTCAGTTTCGAAACGCTCTTCATAACTTGAATATGAGGTGCTTGAAACATCTCTTGAATAGCTGCTTCAACATCTGACATAATCACCAGATTCTTTGTGGTTGTGTTAGTCTTTAGACGGTAATCCGCCAGTTCTGCAGCACGCCTGCATATCTCAAGTGCACGTCTTGCATCTCCTGAAATCGCAGCTACTTTTCTAGAAGCGAATTCAATCGCTGTCTTCTCGAAAGCATTGATTCCGTTCAGCCTTGTAGAAATGATTTCTTGTAGTTGGGTGTGGTTATAAGGACCGAAACACAGTCTCTGTATTCCCATTCGGCTTGAAATCCGAGGAAGCAACTTCTCTGGAAGATCCATAGTGTTTGCTATTCCTAACACAATCAATTTAGAGTTAGGCTTGGTAGGCCAATCCAGAATGTTGTACAAAACCGACTGATTTCTTGTGACTAGAAGGTCCAGTTCATCGATGAGAAGTATGCAAGGCTTGTCATCCTCTTTACCAATCTTTTTTCCTTCTGCAAACCTCTCATTCAGAGAGTGAAGAGCTTTCTTCCAACCGATACGATGACCACTCAATGCTTCATAGATAACACTGTAAATGTTCTCAGGTGAAGCCAGCTTGAGACCATTAATCTCCACAAAGCAATATGGACTTACATTTCCAGCTTCAACCTCAGCCTTCAGATTTTTCATCACCGATAGCACACTAATAGTCTTCCCAGTCCCGGGAACACCATGAATGTACATACATCTTCCTAAGCACTGATCATCCGAGATTGAACCCTTAATAAATGCAGTAATCTCTTCCATTTCTCTGTTCCTGCAAGGAAGAGACTTAGGACGTGTAGCTAACAACAAAGTAGCTTTCGCCTTTTCTAACTCAGTCTGCTTGTGACATCTCACATGTTCAGGAATCTGCTTTGCTCCCACCTTCTCAAGCCCAAAGAAACGCCCTTTACGAGAATTCGCACCTCCTCTTGCGCTCATTAAACCTCTCTTACTCTTCGAATCTCCACGGACACTTTCTTCATCTCCAAATTCCAACTCTTCATCACTATCATCAATCTCCTCCTCTTTCCTACCATTCCACTCTTGGTCACTATCAGAATCTCCATCAGCCAATTCAGCCAAACGCTTGAAACTATGCCAATGCACATCATACTCATACTCACACAAAAACACATCATCACCATCATTGCTCGCCTTTGAAAACTCCTTAGGACACTTCACAAAACAATGCCTAAGTATACATTCCATCTCAATATCAGCAAAATCATTAGTCAAATAAAGCTCTCTTTTCAGATTATGCGGTTGTCTCCCTGAAACCGTCTCTTCAGGAATCATATACCAACGAGCTCTAACCCAATACACACCATCATCAACCTCTTTCCACAACTTCTCAATCCGAGCAGCCCATAAATCACTAGAAAGAAGCTTCTCCCTCATAGTCCTCGCCAGTTTCTTCCCTTCCGGTGGCTTAGGAACCACAAGTGTCTGACTTTGACCTGACTTCTTAACCTCACAAAATTGACAGATCCAATCACCTTCAGGAACCTTCTTCAATGGTGGTTTCAAGCATTTCAAATGAAACCCACCTAAACAATCATCACACTCAATCATAACGTTACTACCTGATTTGAAACAAATCCGACAATCTTCAATCTCGGGATCTTCAACATCTGAACTCGCGTCTTCTCTTCTCTTAACATAAACATCATCGCCGATTTCAAACTCCGTTTCGTCGAATTCAACTTTATTGTAAAATATTCTCTTCTTCGTCTTCTTCTTAATCTCTTCAGATTTTTTCCTTGTCTCCGTTCGATTTGGGGAAACAGGAGTGAACGGAACTTCCGAATCCACCTTCTTCTTCTTCGTCGGAGATTTTATATCCTGAGGCTTCTTCGATTTCTCTGCAACGTCATCAAACGTTGGTTTTTTCGGCGGCGCTCGTTCTCGTTTCCGAATCAGATTCATGTCTTCGATCGATTCGATTCCAGGAACATCGATTGGGTCAATACCCAGATCGATTTTACGGGAAACATGACGAGCGGATCTACGAAGAGGAGTGAGAGATTCTGGGGTTTGAGGAGTAAGCGAGGTTGAAGACGGAGTTAGATACGGTTTGCGATAGATATTGTTGGTTGGGGTTTTGTTGGATTTGGTTGGGGATTTGAAGGTTTTGGTTCTAGGAGTGGTGGCCATGGATGATGAAGAAAGCTAGGGTTTCTGAGTGAAGCAAAGAGAGATGAAGAAGAAGGAGGTAGAGAGAGAGAAGAAGAAGAGATGCTTTTTTACTGATACATTATTTTGGCGGGAAATGTTCCCTCGAAGAAGAAACTAATTTTTTATTGACTTTTACAGAGAAGGTGTCATTTAATTTAATGTGGTAAGAAATGTGTGTTTACTTAAAACATAGATACGCAATTTTCAAAGATTCATTGACTAATGAGTTATGAGTGAAATTGTTATTTTTTTCAATTAATTTTAGACATTTAAAGATCTAAATAAATCTTGGGTTTACATAAACTAATGTCAATGTTTAAGAAGTAAACCATAATCATCTCGTCTTCTCTCATCATTTACTTAAGATTAGAAATTGATACATCTCTGGATAAACCTCATGATTAATTTGATTTATCATTGATAACCTTGTGAATGTAAAGCATGTAGTATCGCTCTTTTAACATTCACTATCTAACAAAATACATCAAACAATGGCGCATATATTAATGATACAAAAGAGATGTCTAAGTTACAAGATTTACGAACAACTTTTCATCATCATCATCATCATCATCATCATCATCATCATCATCATCATCATCATCATCATCATCATCATCATACATTTTCAGTAGCAGTCTCGGCTTTGGATCCATAATCATACCTAGATAAACAAAGGATGACAACCATTATGTCGGTCAAATATATGTATATAGCTAATGGGCTGGCCAGTTGTGGCCCAATGTTAAAAAAAAATATATATATAAATCATAGCAACCAAAGTTTACTACGGCCTGTTTTGCTCGCGTTCACGTTTGCGTTCGCATTTATCGTGTAAACAAAGATTCATTTGTAGATTATAAACGTAAACACCAAACGCAGCCAAATTGCGTTTGGCATTTGCGTTTCAAGTTAGCTAATATAAACGCAAACGCAAAACCAAAAAAAAAGCAAAAGCTATAAGATCTCACTTTATTTTACGGGTGAGTTGGTATATCCCAGTGGCTGCCATAGCAACATTAACACTAAACAAGTTCCAGTTTTTCTGTAAAACACAAGTCAGATCAAACCAAGAATCAAATCACCAAAATCATTACAGAAATCAAAACTTTTTTTTTTTTTTTTTTTTTTTTTTTTTTTGTGAACCACAGAAATCAAAACTTTAAAAAGCCAAATCCCACTAAGGATGAAGTCAAGGGAAACTTACAGGAGTAATAACAGTGCTGCAACGACACCATATCATTCCAGTACATGTCACAGCTAAATACACCAATTTTAGACAAATATTAAACAAAATGTAATAATTAAGAAGATTAGAGAGATATTGTAATTCGTAACACAACAAAGAGTAGTAGTAGTTACCAATTTGCTGAAGGTACGAAATGTTTTCTGGAGGTTTCTGAAAATCTGCAATGTTAGCAATGCTTATTCCCCATTTGAATGTTGGAGCCCAGAAATGAACTAATCAAGACCCAAATTACAACACAAATCAGAAAAATCCATTAGAGAATATAAAGTGATACTATTGGAAAATGCTATTATGGGTTGTAATTGTGAAACTTTGAGCTACATATACCATCAAAAACATTCATACATTTTTCTAACAGTAACGTTTCAATACAGTCTTAGATTCGTAAGATAGATTGGTCAAGAAACTCCAATTTCGATTCTCATCATGAGTCATGTCTCACTTTTGCTAACCAAAAAGAATGAAACCGAAGATAAGAGTGTAATTAATTTATTCGATGGAAACAATGATGTGAAAAACAGAAACTGAGTTGACTCACTTGTCTTAGGTCCCGCCGGATGATTCCACAGAGCTTTAAGCTTCGACGTCGCCATCAACCTTTTTCTTCCTCTCTTCTTTGGGGATTCTCTTTTCTTTTCTCTCTGTCTTGTTTTGTTTTGTTTCAGTCTCCGACACATAAATATCAACGAAAAAGATTACACGCAAAACGGTGTCGCTTAGACTATACAACTAAAGCCACTGATTTTTCTTTTAATTTGGGCCTGAAAAGCCTCAAAGTTTATATTGGGCCTTTTATTTAGTGGACCTTTAGTGTATATTTTCTGTAACTCTAGTGTGTAGGTGTAAATTTGAAGTTACTAGAGTGGTTCAAACTACAGAAGTATGAATTATATAACTTTGCTGGTCCAGCTTCAAGTATACGTAATAACTAGCTACTATGCTTTGAGTGCAGATAGCTTTATACACATAGAGGAAAAAAGAGTTTAGAGGACTTAGTAATACAATCAATCAATCAATCATAGTATTGCTACCAGCATATTATATTATGTCCTAACAATAACAAAAATCAGGCCTTGACATGATGATATCTTGGAATGAATTTTGCAAGAGATGACAAGAAAGATGAGTTGTTGTTATAATTCATCTTGATCATTCTTTTGCAACAATAGGATCTGCTACAGATACATAATCATGCCTGCAAGCCACACATATCAATAAATGTCAAAAAAAACAGAGACAAACATAATAAGTTTGAAACCATGAAGTCATCATAATCAAACTATATATGCAAATGTAAATAGGTTTGTTCACTAGATGATCTTACTTTATTTTACGAGTAAGTTGGTACAGGCCTGTCGCGGCCATACCAAGACTAACACTAAAGAGATTCCAGTTTTTCTGTAAACAAAGGTTACAAGAATATCATAAATAAACCAGAAAATTCAAGAGTAAAGCAAAAAGGTAATACTTATATATTAGATGATTTTGTAGTAACCATACCGGAGTGATTACGGTACTGTAACGTGACCAGACAAGTCCAGTCCCTGTGATCACTAATAGCAATAGATACCAAACAAACAAAACATGTAAGAAGAAAGATACGAGGCAAAATGAGGAGATTTGTCAAAGAGTATTTCATAATTAAATACCAAGTTGTTGTGGGTATGAAAGTGTCTCTGGAGGTTTCTGAAAGTCTGCAATGTTAGCAATGCTTATACCCCATTTGAACGTCGGTGCCCAAAAATGAACTGAAGCATACAACAAAAATGACTTAACATTTCAGGTTTTTGTTTTTTGATCAAGCTACCAAAAGAATGCTCTTGTTTATGCATACAGAGCATTTTAACCAAACCAATCTAAACCGAACCAAAACCAATCCACACCGAGTCAAATTCTATGCATAAATGATAAACCATTCGGTTCAGCAGTTCTTGAAAATTCCAAGATAATCAAAGTTCCTAGCAACATATCATATAAAATCCTCAGATTCAGATAGAAATCATTTCAGAAACTGATTCTAATTAGACAAAACCAACTGAGACTAAGCATGAGCTGTTAAAAATCGAATTTAGCCAACATAATAAAGATTGCTCAATACTAGTCAAACATATCGATGATCAAGTCACAAAGAACCACAAAAAAGATAATTAAAAACTGATTAGAACATGACTCACTTGTCTTAGGTCCAGCTGGATGATTCCAGAGAGCTTGAAGCTTCGAAGTTGCCATCGGAATTTTTCTCTGTATAATTCAGATCAAGTTTCTCTGAAGAAATATTCTCTATGTAATAAACAACATTGCCAGTCAAACAAAAAAAAAAAATTAAAGAAAAGACGAAAAAGAAGTGATTCGTTATTATCATGTGGTTGGCTGCTATTGAGTACGACGTCGTCTGACGGTGTTTTAATACTACTATTTGATATCGTCCCTACAAAATTGATGAAAACGTGTAATAGGAAACCTTGATTTATATTTCACCTGTATGTATTATTACTTGATTATCACTTGAACGTTAAAAGAAAAGCAAAATGATTGTCACAATTAAAGTTCAAGATTATAATCACAGTGATCTCGTTTCCTAAACTCTACATAGCATGGGTTATTAGACATCAGAAACCCAAACCGAACCAACCCCAACGGCCCAAATATAATCTCAAACTAAACCAAACCAAAACCAAAATCTGAAAACTGTAAACCGAATTACCTTAGAGCAACCTCATTGATGAGATTTAAGTGATATCTTAGATGATTAATCATTTAATTAAAAAGTAAAAACAAAGTTAATTAGCAAGATATGGTATCTTGCATACGATATAAAATTACTCTAAAGATACCATAAGATATAAAACTACTCCACTAATTAAATTAATTAATAAATTATTCTTAAAATATCATAATTAAATACCATGAATGAGGTTGTTCTTTTAAACCAATACTAGGTTCGGACCCGCGCTACAACGCGCAGGAAATAATTATAAATATATAACTTTTAAGGGATTAGAATATGTTATATTTTTCGTCCAAAAAAAAAAAGAATATACTATATTTTAGTTTTATTGCAATGCAGTCGATTACGGTGAATAATATATTTGTGTAATAAATTTAAATAAAATAATAAACGAAAAAGTTAGTAAATAATAATACATTGAGGTTTGATACAATTAAAAAAACAGTGAAAATTTAACAGCACAATAGAATATTTATCGACAAATTATTCAATTTGACCATTCTTGTAGTAGAAGTAGGAATATATGTAAAAATTACATACTTACAATATATTTTTTTGAAGTACCAACCCGTAACAGAATTCATTTTTTAAAAAACATTATTCATAACTCGCTTTACCATTATAATTGTGATTTTTACAAACTATCCGCGAACTATCGAAAATTTACATAGTTTGATATATAATATATTTTATCAATAAATTAAAATTATGTCTCCAAATTACATCTATGTCTCCAAAAAAATAATTTTAGTATTTTAAATTCTATTTTTAATATATTTTAACCTTTTAATTATAATGTTTTGAAACTTTTGAAACTTTTAAATAGACTCATGTAACAATGGTTTTAATATTGGTCATATTTATAATGATTTTAAATCATTGTCCAAAATATTTAACCGAGTGTAGTTGAGTATTATATGTCCGTTTTGCAAAATTCAAATTGCAACATATGCAAAAAAGGTTAAATTTTTATTAATCATTTTTATTATATAGTATAATATCATAAATTAAAAATAATATCAAATAAAAGTTAAAGAAGAATAATAATTGATTAGTTAGAGATTTATTAGGAAATCATAAAACTAGTTATGGAAATAATATAATTTTAAAATTAGATATGGAAAGTATCCGATGTATGTATCCGAACCCAATTTAATATCCAATTTTGAAGTATCCAATTGCTAAAATCGGGTTAATTTTTTAATTTTGACCCGACCCATATTCTATTTTGTACTTCTCTTTTACTAATATAGGGATTATCGGAATATCTTAGAGGGCTAAGATACTCCGTTTTTTGTAAAAAAAAATCTTATATTAAAGAAAAATTTTATATAAGATTTTTCTTTGCAAAAAACGGAGTATCTTAGTCCTCTGAGATACCCTAATAATGTATTCTTGTAAGAAAAACTCTATCTAGCTAGCTATTTAATTAAACACGAGTTGGTTAAGTTATATACATGAATGATTGGAAACGTTTGTATTATACAAAAGTCAATATTTGACATGTTGTTCAAATGTGTAATGTAACAGTTTAATACTTTTCGAAATGCTAATTTATATGAACATTATACGGTAAACTTTATAAGAGGTTTCGTTTTAAAAAGAAGAGGGGGATGACTTTATATGCTATTTTCTTGTTAAACTTGATTATGTTTCATTTCTGGTAGACTAATTAACACATATCATCCTTTTTTTTTTTTAACATCATTACAAATAATAAGTCTCTCTTTGACAGGTACCGGGCTCGAACCCGCATCTGATGATAACGTAAACAGAAGTAATAACCACTAGCCCACTTGCTTCTTCTCTAACACATATCATTCAAATACACACAATATATACCCGTTAAAGTCTTAAAGATATATGTATCCCTATATTAGTAAAAAAGAAGTACAAAAAGTACTTTCGGGTCGGGTCAATTTCAAAAAATTACCCGAAATTTGTAATTGGATATTTTAAAGTTGGATAGATTAATGGGTTTGGATACACACACCGGATACTTTCCAAATCTAATTTTAGGATTATATTATTTCCATAACTAATTATAGGATTTACTAATATTTCTCTAACTAATTTAATACAGTCTATTTAAAAAATATTATTCTTCTTTCACTTTTATTTGATATTATTTTTAATTTATGATATTATATTATATTATATAAATATTAAATAAAAATTTAACTTTTTTTTTGCATATGTTGCAATTTGAATTTTTCAAAACGAACATATAATACTCAACTACACTCGGTTAAATATTTTGGACAATGGTTTAAAATCATTATAAGTATGATCAATATTAAAACCATTGTTACAGGAGCATATTTAAAATTTCAAATAGTTTCAAAATATTATAAATAATAG